CAATGTATGGCTGGCCTTGCTGGCTGTGGTCTGGCATTGGCGGCTCATGTTCATCTTGGAGTCAGTAATGACTCCAAGATCTCATTCCGCCTCTGTGCTTTCAAGAGGGGAATTCCCCAGCCTCTATGTATGCTGTGGATTCCTTCCCCCAAGGTGCAGCACCCTGAATTTGTCTACGTTTACTGTCAGCCTGGATTAGATTACAATGTTCACTCTAGAGGGAAAAAGTTCTGTGTTGTATTACCATCCTCTTTAGCCATTCAGTCCCATTTTGGCCATTTGCCGTGCAACAAAATTAGTTTTTTGGATCATTACAACCCTATTAAACCCAAACTATTGTAAAAATGTTCCTTTCCCTCTGTAAAACTAATTGACTCTATAGTCTAGCATTTTATCTCCTAGCTATCAACTTTTAACCTTAAATAAGACTATCTATTTTTTCCTGACTTCCAATAATTGAAAAATGGTTTTGTGACTAATTTCATAATCACTGGCTTTTTATAGATTTCAAAAGAAAAATCCCATTTAGAGTATAGTTTACATTTTTACCAGCCATTGCACTTAAATAACCATAAAACATTAGAGTCTGAAAAGAGAAAAGCGCAATTTAATCCTGAGTATGGTCATAGTAACAATACAGTTGGCTATCAGATTAATATAAGTAAATCCTTAATTGTCTGAAGATGGAGACAAAGTCCCGCTTACTCCAGTAAAAATGATTCTAGGAGAATGGTTGAAGTAGATCTATGAATATTATTACAAGATGGAAAACTGAATTTCAGGTTCAGATTAGGAGCAAGATATCTTGCTAAAACTATTGAAGTACAATAATATTGAAAATATCTAGGCAAAAAATTAAATTTTCTAAGTTATGCTAAAACAATTTAGTGAAGAAATGGGGCTATGTAGGTGTGTGTAAAATTTTAGTATACAGCCAGTCTTTCATTGCTAAAACTATAGGCCTTTGTGGAGAGCAAAATAGTTCATTTAAAAAAACGTTTTTATCTTCCCCTTTGGTGTCATATTTTAAATTGTCCATCTATTTTTCAAAAGCATCTAAAAATAATCCTTCCCAAATATATGATATATGTTGTATTTGATTAGTAAAGTTTAATACTTTCATTGCTGCTTCTTTGCATTTGTGCTGTCAATCCCCACTAAAGTTTCAAGTTCATTGTTTAGATATGTCTGATTAAATTCAGCAAAACAGCATGCAAATACCTGAATGTACTTGGAATAATTAGTAGTACTCAAATGGTTCAGTGTCTTTGCTAACTTCAAATATCATGATATTTTCATATTCCTTGTAACTATACTTATGCTAAATATTTTTTATGTAAAATGACAGAGCTGCAAAATAATTTTAGCTCTGCTTTTTATAAAAAGCTACTTTTGAGAACTGGTAGGGCACTTGGTCCTGAAGAGGTTTAGTAAAATGATCTTAGTGCACTTGGAAGATGGAGATATAATTCCTGACTCAAAGAAAAATCATTAAGAAATGAAAAAATAGAACAAGAGGCATTTTAACAAGTGACCTTTTAATGATGAAGTTGACTCATATGAGCACTGAATCACCATCATTTGTACAACTAAGCAGTAAAGAAACTTGCAGAAATATTGTTTTTCATTTACAGGGCATTGTGTTAGGTGCAACAGAGAGGGGTCAAAAGAAAAAAAATGGAAATGGGGAAAAATGAAGAGAATGGATAACAAATGAACCAAATATTTTAGGTCACAGCTGAGTAATACAAGCTGTAAATGAGAACTGTTAATAATTTCCTTTAGAAAGATTTCCAAGCTTTAGATAAAGTACCCCCACCACCATTTTGAAGCAGGGGGCGCTGATACACAAGATGCAGGAGACTGCTTAGAGTGGCAGTGGCTTCAGCGGTGGCCAATCTCAGGAGGGATACCCCACCTATGCATTGCCTATGGTAGAAGGGGTATTTTCTGTGGGGGGATGGCTCAGCAGCAGTGTACTGAGGGACTGTGTCTTAAAGATTAGTCATTTGATACCATATATGCCTAATTGTTAGTTTTTTTGTCACTTTCAGTTGTTTGAAACTACTGAGTGTGGAAATGGTTATGTAGAAGCAGGAGAAGAGTGTGATTGTGGTTTCCGAAATGTAAGTTTAAAAGTTCAGTATATTATTCCTGCCACTCATTTTTATAACATGTTGACCAAAATGATATGTATGTTAAGAGGAAAAAGAAAGAGTATTGTGTTGAACTTAGGCTGCCTTTCCCACTGGATGATTTTAATCAGATATTTGTGTTAAAATACTTGTTATAAAACCAAATATTTTCTCTAATGAAAAATAAATGCGAATGTGGATTGCAGCAGAAACAATCTTGCAAATACACAACTTTCTGTTTCTCCCACTTTCCCAGGACACTCCATGTAGAACTCAGAGGAATGCCTCTTAAAATTAATTGTAGTGGCTGAGCTCAGCAAGCAGTGAAGGCCACACTGGTGCTGAAGCAAACAGCCTCACATGATATATACATTGCCCTGCAATCTTGGTCTTTCCCCCACCACTGCTAGGGATGTAAATAACAATTAATTAAGTACCTGTTTAAACTCCCCTAATGTTATCAGTTAAATGGTTAACCAATAACATGCATCTGCTGGGAACCAGTTCCTGCCATACTCAGTTGTTCTGCAGGTGGCAGCAACGGGCTGGAAAATCCCCTTACCTGCTGCTGCTGCCCACAGCTTTATGGGGCAGTGCTGCTGCCTATATCCAGACCTGGCCCCCAGGCAGTTGTGTGTTGATGGCATTAACAGCAGGCTGGAAGAGCCTGCTGCCACTGACATGCAGCTGCCTGGGGACTGAGGCTAGCTGCAGGCAGCAGTGGCAAGCCCTGCCACAATCCCTGTGAAACCATGGGCGGCAGCCGCAAGCTGGGAAAGCCCCTTGTCCACTGTCGTCGCCGGCATGTGGCTGCCCAGGGGCCAGGGCTGCAAGCAGCAGCACTGTTGTCAGCAGAGCCCTGGCTCATCTCACTGCTGGTGGCAGGTGCATATGCACGTCATGGCAGGTGGTGGGGGAGCTGCAAGATACCCTATCCTTCTTGTGGCAATGCAGTCCAGCCCCTTCCCTGCCATCCGCCCTGAGGCGTGCATGTACCCGCTGCTGGCAACCAGCCAAGCTGGGACCCCACAGACCTTGGTGCAGTGTTGTTTGCAGCCTCCCCCCTGCCCC